TGGTGGTGTTTGGACCGCTGGACCAAGCACTTTTACTCGCAATTCAACTAGGCCTCCACTATCCCTTAGTAACTGTATTACACCTTGTTGTCTACCCTAGCTCGTCCCACTGAATCCACCCAGCCAGCCGCAAGATTCGACGCTTAAATTGCTTCAACGCTGCCGGCTCAGATGGACTTGCTGCAGAGCTTTTAAGACACCGCAGAGTGGTGATCGTCAACCAGCAGACCTAGTTGTTCGCAAAATACTGGCATAAAGATAAAGTACCTTCCTCTTAGGGCGAATCAGCTATTGTCCCGATTTTCAAGAAAATCGCTCTCACTTCATGTGTAAATCATCTCGGGATTAGTCTTATTCCAGTTGCTTCCAAGCCATCGGCATCCATTCTGCTTCGCAGACTATCCCCACTACGTGAATCACAGTACTGTGAAGAACAAGATGGTTTTCGTCCCTGCCGAAATGCTTGGAGCAAATCTTTTCTCACCACCAACTCCTTAGACATGACCCACATTTATCACAGGCTCAGTATCGTTGAATTGCTAGACATAAGTGCATCGTTTAACCCCGTTGGTCTACCCGCTTTATGGCGATGCTTGCTAAAGAACGTGATGCCAGTGAAGTATACTGCCACCTTAAGTGCACATTGCCTTCACACCTCCGGCAGTGTGAGTACCTACCGTAAGCTTTCCTCGCAACTAGCCGTCAATGGCGTTGTGCGGTACGGCACAATCGAAGAAGTTCTGTCGAATGCTCTAGAAGGTTTCCACTATTTTGGCCTAGCGCTTCCGCTGTGTGGGCGCGCGAGTGACTTAAATTATGCTAATGATATCGTCTTATTTGGTGATGATCCTTAGTTTACGCAAATCATTCTGGATTGTTCGGCTATTGAAGCATCTAAGTATGGCATGAGCTTCGCTTCATCGAAGCGTAAAGTGCAGCTCCAGGATAGACCCACACCCGCTTCCGTGCTCACTCTTAAAGGTGCGCAACTTGAATAGGTATCTAGTTTCGTCTATCTTGGGAGCTCTGTTTCTGCTGAAGGCACTAGCAGCAAAGAAGCTTCTCCTCGCATCGCTAAAGCCCGATCAGCATTTGCCAATCTGAGGCACTTGTGGCGTCGTCGCTGTCGAATAGCACACTCCGAGAATCAAAAGAAAGTTTGGCCAGACTCAGTTATTTAAGAACCAGGGCATCGTTTTTATTATACATAAAGTGGAATGCTTGTCTGCTGACATTGGCTGCTGCGACTGCCGCATTACACTGCGTTCATTACTCTGTCGGCGTCAGCTCCGTCTTCGTTTATTCGTCTTAAGCCACAGCTGGGTAAGTCAGCTCTACTTTTATGTTTGGTCTGTCGTTTCTACCTCATCGGCGTATAGGTTTTCCCAGCTAAACCGATCCGCCAATGAGTCAACCGCGCATCCTTGCTCTGGCTTGTTGATGCGTCCACATGAATGACCAATTTAGCATATGGTACTAATTTCCTTCCGCTCAAGCGGCTATCCGGTAGCATATTCGCCAGCAGTCGGAGCCCGTGATTAGCTCGCAGGGATACGGTCAGTTTCTCCCTTTTGCTTAAGGGACTAGCTAGTACCATGGCTGCGATGTCTCATTCTCGCTAAAAGCCCGTGCTAACAGCGCATCTGTTCGTTCAGTATCGTTATACGGGAGCGAGTCCAGACCAGTTTGCGTGGGGCGCCTTTGACAACAGTTGCTTAAAGAGGATCGCTCAGGCTTAGTGTCAACATCGGGCTCACAGTGATGACTTTCGATGTCGCAACTTGGGAATGCACGCGTTTATCAGACAAACTGGTTTGCTGCGCCAGTTAAGATGGCTCGGTCACGTCCTACGCATGGCACCTGAGCGTCTATCGTGACGCACTCTATTCGCTCTTCAAGGACCTGACTGGAGGCGACCTCGTGGTGGTCAGCCTACTACATAGCAGCAGCACATGAAATCGCTGCCGTCGTGTTTAGCCGCTGTTGGATCCGTACGTCTTCCAGGATGGGGACCCAAAGATGAGGAGTGCCAATGGCTTGAAACTCTTGAAGAAGTGTATACATACTTGTGTTGATTCACATGTTTAGTACTTCAAACCCTGAAAATGGTAAACAAGAGAAATACCGGTTTGTGAAAAACAAAATTTCTTTTGTCCCATTGTTGCCAAAAGGTTCCTTTCGTCTTGAAGCATAGTAGCTCAAGTGCGTTGTTCACTTTCAACTACTTCGCCTAAAGGATTAAGATGCGGTAACTCTCCCCTTTATTCGCCTATCTCCAGATTTTTTGCCCTTAGTCTATGTACTAGACTGTTGAGCTTACTACTACTACTACTACTACTACTACCACTACTACTACTACTACTACTATTGCTACATTCTTCCTGCATTATATAACCTTCCCTCCTACTCAAATTATAGTTCTACAGAATTTCAATGGAGTGCACTAGCATATAGGTGGGCTAGAATTGCTGGACTTATCGCTGAACCTTTCTTACATTATGATCAATTGCCCCGTTCCTACTCATAATTGAGACCAGTAGATAAAACAAACGTTAGCACATTAAATTAGGATTAAGTAGCCACATCTTTTGCTATCTTCTATTGGCGCGTTTTCGAGCTCAAGCAGTCGAAAGACGCATTGGCGCCCACGAGACCTGCATAAATTGGAAGGTTGAATATGGGATAGCATCTCACTAACCCATCAAATTGATGTGCCGATATTAGTCTTTTCTTTCTCATTAAGGCTCACACACTGTGGGAAACAAATTGTTCATTCAAAATAGCTTCTGTCTTCTATAAGTGGGTTTGTTCTCAGGTTTGCTTACTATCATAAAGTAAACTATATACGAAAAATTAGTCACACTTAATTCCTTATGTGCATTTAATAATTTACTCCCTCAAACATAACCATAAGGGGCACAAACTTGTTGGGACATCACAAACACGTTTCCTGCATTCTGCCGAGGCTGCTGAGAACAGTCGAATCAAACCGGCACTCTGCGTGGAAAACAGACGTTCGGAAGAAGAGGCCCTCATAGACGTAGGGGGTGGCAATTCTATCCTCCACCCTATTTCTATAATACCGAGTCCCAAATTAGTTGTAGATATATATTTTTCTGTCATTGTATTAGCAGACAAAAGCGACTACTAAATGCTACCACCTGTCAAATTTCTACTTCTTACTGCGTAATTCATCCTGCCAAATGGACCTATTTTGGATTCAACTTACTATTCCTCTTCATTTTAAAGACGCTCAACGACTGCCAGCTCTCGCCTAAATGGACCATGTTTGTACGAAATGAGCGGGCTAAGTTTTTTCATCCAAACCAGCTTTTTAATGACAATTCTGCTTTCGGTTGTGCTAGCTGAGAGCCATAGATTTATGCGCTTAGACAAAGCTCGTCAAAAACTTACCTATATCAGTATTATTAATATAAATAGCATATTTCCTAAGCGGTAATCTCATTTATTCATCCCGTTGATCTATAAAATTTGTCTATCCAGTTATGAACATTATAAATCAGGTTTCTTCCAAAATTCTGTATATCACTGTAACTGCATAATTCGCGTTCTAGCATTTGGAGCAATGAGAATAAATAGCCAAATGGCAGTTCCAGTAGGTCATTAAAAAATTCCCAAATATCCAATATTCTTCTGCCTTCCTACCGCTTCCTGCCTCATGGTTGTGACTCCCTTGACCGTGTTTCCAACTCATTTCCCTGTCCCAACCGATCTTTTTCTCAATGGAGTTCGTGTTCCGTGCCAAGTTAACTAAGATTATTTGCACTTTAAACGCATAAATGACCTGCATTCAACCGTCCATGCAGCGACTTATAATTCCAAGTTCTGAACAGACTTGCTTGTCGCTTCACATGGCTTCGCCTCATGTTATCAGTTTGTGATGTTCCGGTTTAACTCCCTCGCTGTGGCATTCTGATACTGGCGAGCAAGGCATTCCTTCCATCGCATGTGACCTGACAAGGTTGCGAGATCACATGAGTAGTGTTCACATACATGAAACCACCTCTTCCGTGAGGATAATTGTAAATGGTGCGTCATGTGCAATTCAAACGCTTGCAGTACCAGCATAGCGTGTGTGTGTGTGTGTGAAGGCACTCGCCGAATGCCCACGTTTTAGGGCAACGTCCTTTTCCGATTGGTCACGTGCAGACCTCTTCAAGCCACAGTATATTGAGACGAGCTTATCCTGCGTGAACTTGAAGCTCAGCTTGTGGTCTACCCTACATTGTTGTCGTTGTGTGATACGCCTGTGCCGGAAGCACAGGTTATTGAGGTATTGTACCTCGTTGTTTTTAGTTATACATAATAGTACCGCATTCCATTTCCGGTGTTGTTATGATGAAACCGGTAGAACGAGTTTACTCAAGATTTCCAGACTGATGGCCGCTTAAAGACCTTCAATCTGAAAAATGAAGCAAAACTTTTATCATACGCCCACGGTTTTCGGTAAACTGGACATGAATAACTCACATCGGTAATTTTCCCATATGTTAACGCATCGGAACTCGAGCATTCTTTCTTCATTGCACTGGGCATATGTATGTTTTGTACCCTCACTCCATCTATGACAAATTCTTTGTGGTAGAAAAACTCAAATCTATTTAGAAATATTCTTCGTCGATCAAAAACCCATAGTCAACCTTCCCACATTTGTTATGGCAATATGTAACAGCGAACCTGACACGAATTGTGGTAAGTCAGGAAAAGCCTCTGCAATAGCAATAACCATTTTTGCCCTAATATTGCTCTCGTCGCGCTGCTATATACAAGCCGTACGCTAATTAACTGCTATCTGTTACGCATTTTTGCTACAATAACCCCACATCCATCATCTTTTTGTTCCTTCTCTCATTGCCTGTCTATCTCATCTTGCTCTGAAGTAAGATACGGAGCATTTTCTCTGTTGCTATCAACTTTGCAAATGGTCCGTGACGCGCTTTTGCATATTGTCCATCATTAGTATATTAAAATTGACTGTGCAGCAGTGGGGAAGTGTTTTTTATTAAATGGTGTTATGAACGTATATGTAGAATTAAAGAAATAACCAACGACATCAGAATCCTTTATATGCACTATATTCGGGGATTTCCATCGATAGCATGTGCGATAGCTGTTGTGATTTTCTGCAAACAATAGGTAAACCGATTTTCCAGGAGGCTTTAGTTCTAATTCGATGACTGGCTGAAGACTGGTGCCAAAAATCAGGTTCGGTCTTTCAGTTGCACATACATAAACACTTCATGACCTTCCGAAATGTTGATCGATTTCATCCACTCCAGCCTTGCACACCTACGTAGCAAAATGGAAATCTGTTAGTTAACTTCGAACGTGTGCGTTGGGCAAACATTTCCGAGCTGCATAAATCATGGCTGCCAATGTAGAACCCAAAATCATTTGGTTGCAAAGCAAATCTGTCATATTGCAGCCAAGCAAGTTGACGACCAATAACTATGCTGCGGCTTAGGGCAAGAAAGCTGTCCTTGATAGAAACAGCAGAAACAAGCAATAATCACTGTACCTCAGCAAGCGTACACAATTTGGTTACTGAGTTGATGTAATTCACCAAACCTGATCGAATCAAAGTATTCTGTCATTTGTATCACATGGAGACTAATTCCCACAAAAACCTTTGAACGAGACTTAAAAATTTGTGTGATGCACACAAACAATAGAAGTCCGACGTTCACTCAGATGACTAAAGCAAAACCGTTTTCTGTCGGCGCGTCACACAGTGACCGGTTTTGACAATACCCTCATAGCAATTTTCCTGCGGATCGTTGATTGCCTACCTCAAATACTTCACTGCCGAAATCAAAAACTTTAAGGACAAAAGTACTGAATATCAGGCCTGAGTTTTTCTGCATCCAGTTCTCTACCATACTGCGGAAATCTTACCAAATAGCAGTGATTAGGTGCCTCCCTCTGACAACTCCGAGCTGGTTAGAAATTGGCTTAGTAATAACATATCAACAAATCACAATTCAAGCTCATGTGCTTTTTTTACCAGTTACGTACCTAAGGAACATGCAGCATTAGCCGCACCTGCTGCATGTTATTCCCAAAACTAAGATACTGTACCAACGATACGAAGTCTAAAGCAAGTACGTTGTACGAAACCTAAAATAGAAACTACAAATTAATAAACCTAGACTTAACGCACGGTCCTGGCAGAAGAATAAAACTAATTACCCTGTAACCGTGGTTCTATAAGGCAAATTAAATACCGTACATGACTTACGAATAAGTGTTGTAATCGTAGTGCAAGAGGGAAAAATTGTGAAGCACGCGACAGCGTGAGGGAATTTGGTCAGTGTCACAGTAACGGAATAAAATGGATGACATTGAAACTCCAAGGATATGTCAGTGATCGAGAGTGAAATTAATAAAGGTTCAAGATGGTAACCGATTGTAGCACACTGAGTGAAAGCAATGTAAAATGGGCAAAATACTTAGCGAATAGCCATACCGTATCCACAAGTACGCAATCCAGGTAGGGGAACACACCAAAGTGCATTTTTGACTTTGCACTACCAGTGTTATTAAAATTAGAGTAAATCCCAAACTAACTGAAGTATCTTAGGGGTCAATTTTGGGTGATGACAATAGCATCATATAGCACTATCTCAAAATTCATTTCATTACTGCTCAAACATCGGTAGTGTATTAGGAACCACTACACGAGTTTTCAACTACCTGAGTGAATGTGCTGAGATGAGAAATACACTAGAAGGCCCTCCCACGTAACAGTGAAACTGATAGCGGGACAAGCAGAAGAATGTCACTTAATATCTACCCATATTACCTCAGAGTACGACTTCAATTATCTTGACTAAAACTTGCAAATTCTGATCCGTAAAACTAGGATGCGTGCGATTTCCGTCTGTCTTGACTCTTCAGTCAACCAACACCATATGCTTCATTACAAGAAGTATGAGATGATACGATGACTGAAAACTTTTTCTAATCTTTCATATTCCCTCAACTCAGCAATTTGCAAAAGAAAACCTTCGAGTAGACAACCGTATCCTCTCAGACCCCCTCCATCAATCAGGACACCAATTAGCATCACAGATTACCCAATATCCCTTGTAGCAGTAAATAATTCAGCTTGGTGACATCGGTGTTTAACAGGATCTCAAGAAATTGAAGGTTAATAAGACTACTGATCATGGTGTCTTATCACCACTAGTTCTGAAGAAGTGCAACGTTTTTCTGTGGCTACCTTCAGCAGCTATTTTCAACCGATGACTTATGAGTGATAGTATCCCTGACATCTGAATACCAGTAAGGATAACGAACGTGTCCCAGAAGGCATCCCAAACTATTGTGCGATGGCGTGTACGTTGGTAAAGTTGAAGTCCTTCGAAAAGCAACAGGTGGATTTATTTTGGTAGGCCGCTTGCCGACCTAACCATTCCAAAGTAGATGCTGTATTGTACCGTGTCTATTGCGTAGATAGCCCATGCTTCCCTTAGGTATGTAGTTGCGAGATCCGGGCAGATCGTCGATCCGCTACTGCTAATCTTGTGCCGTGGGCTCATGTCCTGGACGCCTCCTCATGGCCACCGCTGGGGGGAGTTGGGTTCCACATTTCTGCTAGCTAAGAGTCAGGTCAAACTATTTCGGGTTATTCGGTTCCCTGACTCAAGACACTTTTCTGCTCCACACTTTATCGATGGCTTTGGCTGAGGACCCGAGTCGATCTCCTGTCAGGTGTGCACGTCCTGGCAGTATCCCAGTGCAACCCCTAACCATGAATTCTGCCTATAGTAATAACTCCATGCTGCATCGGTCGTCGTCCAGCACACTTCAAACTCAAGTTCAAGTGGAACTAGGACAGTAGGAAATTCCCGTGTATGTTCCTTCGTGACAGCGTCGTTGGTTCAAGGTACATATCCACTGCAATTTCAGCAAGCTGGGAGAGCCCAAACAACACCCACACGAATCACACCATAGACAACTGATTAATGCCCACGTGATCTGCACTATCAGTCCACGCTGCGCCGGCCAGGTGAAGTAAGAGTGAAAATAAGCAGTAACCAAGAACGGAACGAGACAGAAATATAAGGGAAATAAGAGTAATAATAGTTAAGAGTAAAACTTAAGCTGTGAAAGGGAAGAATTGAAACTGCAGCCCAATGGTGTCGAGTTTATGCTCAAACACCTTCACTCTTTGGGCTGACACCAAATCCTCAGGTAATGCATTCCAGGAATCAACTACTCTACGTGGCAGTCGTAAAATGGTCAAAACCCCATCAGATCATGGTTTGTGCAACTTATTCGAATGGCCACAGAGAGATGGTAGTAGGGTTGGCTCAAAAAGCCAAGACAATTCAGAGCCAATCTTCCCTGTCGGAATACGATAAGTCAGAATTAAATCGCCACGAAGTGGGAGCTAGTGAGGCGAAAACACTCCGAGGTTAGGGAGTCACTCGCGGTATGACAGGTGACGTAGTCGTTGAACCATTTTTCCACAAATCCTAAGGACCGGCTCCACTGCCATCCTATCAGGAGCCAAGTAAGGTGGATAAGTTTGGACGCAATGTTCTAGGTGTGGCATAACGAAGGCCGAAGACAGTCTAGTAAACATTGCCGGTGTAATGATTCCGAAGCACCTGCGGATCATCCCAGCATTCTGAAACCTTTCCCGGCAGCCTTCCTCCAGTGCTCACTGGACTTGAAATCAGAAGAATGGACAATACCCAGGTCAACCTGTTGGGAAACCTGAGGTATCTCATGCCCTCCAATGAGCAAGCGTGGGGGAGATTGCTTAACACTAGGCGCGGCGCTGCATACTTGGACTTATTAAAAAGCGTTTGACACAGAGCAAACTAGTCCCAAAGACTATCACCGACCAGTTGTATACACTGGGGACCGTCGAATTTAGTCACTGGGCACCAGAATTTCAACTCATCAGCAAACATGAGGGACGGTACACCTAAAACTTCTGGAAACTCTTTTACCTATAGGGGGAAGAACAGTGGGCCAAGGACCGATCCCTGCGGAACCCAACTGACGACGGACTGTCGGAAGGACTTGCTGAAACCCACTTTGACGAACATCTCTCGACCTTCCAAAAAACCTTAACAGAAGTGTCAGCTTATCCGCTGCATACAACGGGGTGGAAAAGCGAAAGCATGCTACTGCTGACGCCCCCCCTTCTTTTCTCTTCATGCGCATAAACTCTCCCAGTCCCCGTGTCACCTAACCCCCTATATCCCTCAATCCGGGTCAACAATGGTAAGGTTACCCGCAATAGTATGCCACTGCGAAAAGCGCCTAACGTGCGCACACCACTCGACCGGCACACGAATGCGCGTCCCGAACGACACACGGCACTGGTCGTTAAGGCACTCGTGCACTACGAAATTAAGATTGTCGTACTCGGCGTTACTAGGCTCGCTAAGCTGGGGAAGCTGCATGAGCCTGGCGCGGGTTGCTCGACACATGGGAACATGGCAGAGCTGACTTGCATCGGCGCATGGGGGATGACTCTTCGCCTGCGACTTGGAGGAGGGCCATTTACCACTTTTATTAACACGTATGGTTCCATGTGTTATCATGATGCCACTAGGGATCAATTTTGCGCTCGGTTATCTTCTGTGATACGGTCTCCGCGGAAGAGTGGTCGACTATACTTACTGACTTCAACGCGCGCGTTGGTCGTGATTCAGCAACGTGGACAGAGGTAATCGGTCAATATGGTATTGGCACAGTCAACGAGAACCGTGACCGGCTGCTCTCACTATGTATGGCTCACGGCCTGACGATCATGAATACACATTTTGCACTGAGCGCGAGTGGTATAGGTAATTGGACGCACCCACCGAGTGGTCATACTCACCTACTTGACTATGTCATCGTATGACAGCGCTGCATTCGTGAAGTGAGCATGACGCGTGTACTACGTGGAACGAAATGTGGCACTGATCACAAGTTGGCGCGGACCAAATTGTACATATATTTTCGTAGAGCTAAATAGTGCTCACCTGCCGTGACCCGGAGCATATTTAACGTTCATTCAATAAGTACCACTGGGAAGCGGTTGTAACTGGCGAAGACGATATCCATACGCCTTGACGATGTCGTATCTATGGCACTAATGAGCGACCAGCAGCACGAACTTCGTAAACAGACGACAGCTGCGGTCGGGAAAAGCATAAGGGGTGCAAACTGTAAGCCAACCAATTGGTTTGACGACAACAGTGCGTCCATGGAATCCTTGGAGTCAGCAAAGAATGCAGCATTTGTTGCCCATGTGGCGGACCCTTCTAACTGAGAGAAGTAGA